GTGAGCAGGGTTTGAAAGGGGGGGGCTGTGGTGCTGACCACCCTGTGGTGCTGGCTGGGTTTGCCAGTCCCCTCCTCACTCAGAGCTGAGCGCTTCAGACGTCCCTGTACCATGCTGCACTCCCTTGGGCTGCTGTTGCTGGCTCCTTGGGGAGAGTCTGCCACTGAGACTTATCTGACAGCCTGTATTGGATTGGAGTTGTCTACCCGGAGATGTGCTTTTCTGTCAGCCCTGCTCCAGTGTGCGTTGTGCCATGTCCCCCTGGCCCCAAAACTGTCTCCCTGAAGTGGCACCATGTCCCAGAGCAAGTGCTTGCCTGTGCATCCATGATGCTCAGGGGAAGAGAAGCTCCTTCCTGCTTGGTTTTATTTAACCCCAGTCTGGTTTGAGGGTGGACAGAGCAGGTTTGTGGCCCTTGGCATGGCACAGCTGTGCTCGTGGGGGCCCTGGGAGCCAGGCTGTGATGCTGTTGGGCAGATGGGCTGTTTGCCACCCTTAAGACCATGATAGGAGCAGTTCCTGCGTGCTGAGCCCCTGCCTTGAGGCAGTAGAGGGGGTCTTGGTGCCGATGTGCTGGGGCCAGGGGCTTCCCCTCCCAGTCCACTGCTGCTTCACTCTGTGTTTTCCTTGCCAGGTCTCGTTATCCCACACATCCTGCAAGTCACAGTCTTGTGGGGGTGGCTCCCACTCCTCTTCCTCCTCCTCTTCCTCTTCTTCCTCCTCGTGCCACGGGAACTCAGGGGACTGGGACCCCAGCTCTTTCTTGTCTGCTCACAAGCTCTCAGGCCTCTGGAACTCTCAGCACACCAACGGGGCCGTGCAGGGCAGCCCCCTCGGGGCCCCCCCTGCTGTACTAGGTGAGTTGAAGCTGGCCGTGGGGTTGAGCAGAACTTTCTGCCTAGTCCTTAGGTTAGGTGGTTCCTTGTGGGCACCCACTGGTGGGCAGGGGTAGGCAGGCTGGGCCTCTGGATGCCAGTCCCAGCAGTATGCCTGGGTGCCTTTGCAGAGGTTGCTGGGAGCCAGCCCTAACTCCGCTTTCTTTCCAGGCGATAAGCACCCAGGCCTTGCTGTGTCTCCAGAGTGCACCAGCCAGGCGCCGGCCGTGGCACCAGGGCTCAAGGCTTGTCCCTACAGCCACGCAGCCTCTCCCACCTCCAGCAGCGCCGCCCCGGGCTCACCTCTGCCTACCTCACTCGACTTCTGCAAGACGCTGCCGAAGCAGTTCAAAAGCATGTGCCGGAGGGCCACCCCACCAGGTATGTGCCCAGGGCAGAGCCTGCCTCACTCTCCTGTCCCACTGCTCCATACAGCCCTTGCTGCCCCAGCACCTTTCCCCATGTTCTGCTCTCCATGGGGCAGGGTGGAATCCTGTGGGGGAAACGAGGTGCTGCTGAGGCCCTTTGCAAGCAGGGATGGCTTCTAGCCCAAGCATCCCACTGCCTGGGGGGAGGAGGGTTTGTCCCATGGAGAAGCAAGCCTGTGGAGAGGATGGATGGCTCTGAATGTGGGCCTGGCCTGTGCAGGACAGCTGGTGTCCGACTGTCTCTGTTCTTGTCCCTCTGCAGGTGAGGCCTTCCACTCCTCAGAGCATCATCAGCACTCCGACCTCACTGCTCCTCCCAACAGTCCCACGGGCCTTCCCTCCCAGACACCAGTGCTGATACCCTCCAAGCAGACGCCTGCCCATGCGGGGCCCTTTGGTTCCCCGCCACACGTCCCGGTGGGCACCTCCCCGCAGGCTGTGCTCTTCCCTGCGCCCAGCACGCAGGTGGCAGCCCCGAAGCCGGTGTCCGAGTCCCCTCCTGCTGGCACGGTCTCGCACAGCCCAGGGTCATGCAAGAGCCCTCACCTGCCCCCTGCCAATGTGCCGCTGCTGAAGATGCCGCCTCCGCTGTCGGGCTGCACTCATCCCTGCAACGGGCACTGTAGCACTTCGCTCATCCCTTCTCCTGCCTCCCACCAGCTGCCCAGCACGAACAGGTGAGTAGAGGAGCCCTGTCTGCTTCCAGCCTCTCCTCACTGGGCCATGTGCCCTTTCTCCCTGTCCGCGGATGTGCTTTTCCCTGTGGAGGGAACGGCTGCTCTGGTGTGGTGGTGCGGAGAGCCGCTGTCTTTGCGGGGCAGTTCCACTGCTGCAGACCCCTGGTCTGTCGAGGGTTCAGCTCTTTCTCTCCCCACATATCTTCTCCCTGCGGTTGTCCTTTAGTACTGTGGTGCAGAAGAGACTGTGCTTGCTCCTCCTCCAGCTAAAAGACCCAAAGGAACCGCCCGGTCAACCTGCTGTTGGCCAACAGGACCTTTGTCAGTGAGACCCGTCGGGCAGCTGTGGCACTGAGCAGAGGTCCTTCAAGAAGATGAAGCCTGTGGACTTGTTCTGCTTGCCTGCTCCCCTGGCCCTCTCTGGGCTGCCTGTGCCCTGGAAGAGAGCATGCTGAGTTTCGGGTGCTGGTTCCTCTCCGCTGATTAAGGGCTCCCTGTGGAGGGCCAGCCAGGTCCTGAGCTGGAGCTTGAGGAATGGTGCTGTGGGCCGTGCCCTGGCCTCCCTGTCTCTGAGCTGGGTGGTCTGTGGCTGTGGGAGCCAGGCCTGCCTGCACGTGGGGATGTCTGGCAGCTGCATGCAGTTCCAGCGTTTCTCACCTGTGCTACCTGCTGCCCCCAGTGAGTACCGCTCCCTGCCCTGGAATCAGCTTGTGGCCTGGCAGAGGGACACTGATTTCTGGAGCTCTGGTGCAGCAGCCTCCTGCCTGCCAGAGGCTCTGGGGGGCGAGGAGCTACAGATGTCTTCTGCTGTGGGCTCCTCTGGCATCTCCCCCTGGAGGAAGATGCAGGGGAGGGGGTTTGCCCTGCAAATCCTTCTGCTCGGGCACAGGCTGCCCTGGGGGGTTGTTCCTACATGTGTAGTGCGGGGCAGTTTTTGAGACCCCCTGGCTCCTGCTCACCTCTCATTCTTCTTCTCAGGGACCCCTCTTGTAAAGGGCACAAATTCTCAAATGGTACCAGCTGCCACCCGCCGCAGCCATGCGAGGCAGATGAGGGGCTCGGGGAGGATGAGGACAGCAGCTCCGAGCGCAGTTCCTGCACCTCCTCCTCCACCAACCAGAAAGACGGGAAGTTTTGTGACTGCTGCTACTGTGAGTTCTTCGGCCAACACCCG